AGGAGTATAATGCTACAATTGAATTCTACTGGGCACCATTTCTTCTGGAATCAAATTCAGACAATGCCATTGTTCATCGAATATCTGAAAGAATTGTAAGGAGAGTTTCCATTAACAAGCACGGTCAGCATTGGAGAGGTGTTGACATTCTGGTCTTCAATACCTACCTTTGGTGGATGACAGGCCAAAAGATGAACATCTTGTATTAATTATTACCCTAAACATGGATTAATATTAATTATAATTTGTTTGACCATCTTATGATGTACCCATACTGACTGCGATTTGATATTTTTGGTGAGAAGGAAAGGGTCTTTTGATGACGATGAGAAAGACATAGTACAGCTAACGACCGAGGATGCCTACCGTTTGGCAATGAAGAGCATGGTAAAATGGGTTCGGCAAAATATGGATCCTAAAGGATCAAGGGTGTTCTTCACCAGCATGTCTCCAATTCATGTAAAGTAAGTAAAACTCATGAAATCCTTACTATCTATATAGCATGAATTAGGTGTTTTGTATGGTCTAAATTGACTAAATAGAATGCCAGTTCATAACTGATTGTCAATAATATATACTCTTTTTAATGAATCTGTTTGGCACATGAAATAATCATTAAGAACAATTATTAATATAATTTTATCAGTTTGAAATGAAAGAATATTTTTTCTATAATACATTCTCCATATATAGTCTTGGTTTGAATCTCTAATCATGGCTAATTCAGCTTATTAGTTCGTGTTAATTTACATATACAGGATGATGGATATGTTTGAAGTTTGTTTTATGTAAAATATAGGAGCACTGAATGGGGAGGTAGAGGAGGAGGAAATTGTTACAACGAAACAACCATGATAGAAGACCCCAGATACTGGGGATCAGATTGTAGCAAGAGTGTGATGAAGGTGATTGAAGAAGTCTTCGGTCAATCAAAGTTCCCCATTACATTCCTCAACATCACCCAGCTGTCTAGTTATCGGAAGGATGCACACACCTCCATTTACAAGAAGCAGTGGAATCCATTAACGGAAGAGCAGCTGGCCAACCCTGTTAGCTATGCTGATTGCGTGCACTGGTGTTTGCCTGGCCTGCAAGATACATGGAATGAACTTCTCTTTACCAAGCTCTTCTATCCTTAAGTAGTGTACATACTCTTCACAATTACCAAGATTGGTCCATTTCCCCTATTTTTTTTCGATAATTGTAATTCCAAAGGAATTATACAACTCAAGTGATCTTCTTTTGTTGATATTTAACTTAACATCTTTTGACAAATCAAATATTAATCAATAAAATAAATAAAAACAAATTTCTTTTTCAAGTACTAAGATTATTACCATTTTTCATTCTCAAAAACAGACTAAAATGTCAATAATCTGTTTTTTTTTTTTTTAAAGAGTTAATCAATCATCCTTGAGCAACCAAAGAAAATTTTAGCAATTTTATTTATGAGTTTTTTGTTTTACAGATTAAACTATATTGAATTATAGAATAAAAACTATTGAATGAAGGAGGGAGTCTATCATCATTTAATGGTTACAGTTGTATAATTTAAAACTGTTTAGACTACACAACATTTCTTTGTTTTATATACTCCATCAAAGTAGCAATCTTTTTTTGATTTTTTGTGATTTTTAGGACTTTAGATGAAAATTTAATAATTTATATAAATAACAATTATTTTTTTTTCTTATATGTAGTTCTTATTGAGTATAATATATAAAATTTTTATCTAAAATTCATATTTGAAAAGTCAAAAAAATCAAATTAAGACTACTAAAAATGAATTATAAGAATAGTGTCTATCTATCTAATTTCCCAAAAATTAAAAGGAAAATTATTTCAAAATTACATTATTTTAATAAACTTTCATTGAAAAAAGACTAATATACCTTATTTTTAAATATGAATTAAACTATTTTTAATATTTTCTTATAGTGTTTTATTAAAATGATAAAATTTTAAAATAATTTTATTATAATTTTAAGGTTAAACCCCATTTTCATCCCTCAACTATTGTAGAACCCCCAATTGAATCCCTCAACTCAAAAAATCCTTGATTCAATCTCTAATGTTTGGTATTTTAGCCCCAACTTAGTCCTTCCATTAAGTTTTCCATGTTAATTGACAGAAGAAGCATAACGTGTTTGAAAATTTTCACACAAAAGATTAACAACTTGGCAAAAATAAATGACATGGCCAAAAATTTTGCTGGCATAATTCCAACTCATCCCACCAAAAAAAAAATCCTTTTTTTTTGGTTCCTCTCTTTCCTCTTTCCTCTTTCCTTTTTTCAACTTTTGCAAACCCTAGCATCTCAACCAAAAATTTCTTCTTATTTCCCCACTTTACCTTTCTTGTCTTTGATTCCATTTAAACCAAAGTAAAATCAATTAATAAACTAGTTGCATTGGGTAAAAATGAATTAAAAAATTACCTTTCGAGTAGTTGAAATTGGAGGCAAAGTTTGGGAACTTGCAAAGGAGCTTTCTCGACATCAATGGCTCTAAATACTCCATCACTTTGGCGATAGAAAGGATGAGGCTCGTTGCTTCTTTTGGTTCGTCCATTTGTGAAGGTTCAATGGAACCCAGTAAGGTTGGGTTTTTTCGAACCCAATAGCCTTGCTAGGTTTGATTGAACCCAACAGTCATTAGATTCTTTCAAACCTAGCACACCTAGATTTGATTGAACCCAACAAGCCTTGGGTTCTTTTGAACCCAGTAGGCGTTGGGTTTGATGGAACCCAACAAGCCTTGGAGGAGGCAATTTTGTTTGATGATGATGAAGAATTAATTGATGAAGGATGGAATTCTATTTCATTAAATTAATTGTTTGATTTAAAAAAATGGTGATAAAATGGACTCGAAGGAGGTAAAGAGGGAGAAAAAGAAGAATGAATGAAGAAGATTTGAGAAAGAGGATGCTGAAGGAAAAAGATGAGGGCAAAATTATAATTTTGATGGATTAGATAATTATATTTGTTTTATTACGTGGCCAAAATTTTTTAGCCACATCATTCTGTCAATCCTATGTATTAAATATTTTGGACATGTCATTCTCTTCTTCCGTCAATTGATGGATCACCTTAGTGAAAATTTAACGTAAGGACTAAGTTAGGGTCAAAATACCAAACATTAAGGACTAAATCAAGGAATTTTTAAGTGGAGGGACTCAATCAAGGGTTTGTACAATAGTTGAGGGACTAAAATATGAATTTAACTTAATTTTAAAGATAAGATGCATAAACACTAATATTTATTTTTCATCAATTTGTTTGCTAGTTAGTTCGCCGCTTGGGCCTTGTGTGGGCCTTAGCTAAACGACGTCGATGAAATTTGAAAATTCCTTCCAGCCTTTATCCAAAATTTCAACCCAAAATTCAATTGGGCGTCCGAATTGATATAGAAAAAGGCGCAACCCACTTTCTGCTTGATTGGGCCTTTTGTTTGATAGAATTCTGTTGGACTTTCTTAATAGATGTTAATCTCACTCTCTCTTATTATTATTATTTTTTATTAACATCTTGATATCTGATAACCGTATTAGATTTTGATTAATTCAGAATCGAGTCACGTCGGACTCTATTAAAGAAGAAACTCTCTTAATGTTTGTTTCTCCATTCATAAAATTTGAACTTGAGATCTTATTTAAAAAGAATCTAATTCTTTTCATTTGAACCAATATATCATTGGTTTCTTTGTTTTTCTGCACCAAAGATATTGTTGAAAACAAATTTTACATGTGAGAAGAAGGAAATTATTTATCCAGAGGATGAAGACAACTTAAGAAGAAGTCATAAGACCAACAGTTTTCATTGTCTACTTTCTAATAAAGTGTATGAAGTTGAAATACATGCCAAATTTATCTTTGTCATATCCGAAGCAAGTTTTGTAAAGATCTGCATCTAATTCCAGGTTGCTTACCTAATTAATTAGAACAAAAATCGAAAATGTTAAATAAAGATACATATAGTTAATCGTCATCAGCAGGAGAAGTTCCCCCCATAGAATGAGAATATCATGTCAGTGATATTTTTGTCCATTAATGTAGTAACATGTCAATGTGTGTGGCTCCACTTATAATGAAACAATGCGGAGATTGTACCAATTAAATTAATCTTTCTAATCACAAATATATGGAAGCTATACATGCTAATCCGGCCGTCTTACATTAGTGGAGGAAGATATACATCACTCACGTGATATCTTATCTTATTATATGAAAGAATAATTTCTTCATGAGCAGAGAGATGTCTTTTTTTTGGATCAAGTTTTTTTTTTTTTTTTAATGAAAAGAAAAAGGAAATTCAGCTCTTTCCGGCCTTTCCCCACTGTATATAATCATCATATCATTACCCCACACCCATAGTCCCTTTTGAAAAATTCATTACTTGTTTTCTTTGTTTTTTTAGTAATTTTGTAGGCTATAAGTTTAATTATGCAATGTCGTATGCCATACAATAGGTATGATATCTCTATCGAGCGATGGAGGAATATGGATAGGGTTAGGCAAACAGTCGGTTAACTACATAGGTAATTAAAAATTGTTAAAAAATTAACTAAATAGTTAAATATAAATGGTTTTTTTTTTTTCTATTTTAGTTGGATAGTAAAAAAAAAAATTGGTTGGTTAATGGTTAGAGAGTTGAAAATAAAAAATCGAATATATAATTGAAAAATAAAATTTTATATAAATAAATAAATAATAGTTATTTAAATATTATAAAT